TGCTAGTAGGGCACATGTGCATGCGCGTTTGTGCATGTCACATGCACATGCACATGTGCATGTGCATGTGCTCTGGATCCTCTGTGAACAGAGTACAGACATTCCGAACACTCTCTCGGCTGTCGGCTCTCAAGACTCAACAAACAACAATGTGTGAGTGTTGTTTATTGCTCTCTGTGCTTGTGCGCACTTCATCCTTCATGCGAACGGGTGGTGGTGGTGGTTGGGGGGGTGGGGTTATCCCAGCCGCCCGCCGAGCCAAGAATTTACTAAACGAGGGAGAATTCGTGTGCTGACGACCACGAGTGGCCTGCCCAGCTTTGGACGCCTGGTTTCATGATGGCGGAGATGAGGCCGCCCAGGCGCAAGGCCGCGGGCAACGCAAGTCCCACTAGCAAGGCCGCGGGCAACGCAAGTCCCACTAGCAAGGCCGCGGGCGACGCAAGTCCCACTAGCGTGCTCTCCTACCGGCTGGCGCCGGACGTCTCAACAGCGCCGGACAACGCAGGCACCGCTGACGACAACGAGAGCGGTGGTTCACCCTCGGTTCACATGCCGTCAGAGATGATGCACGGGGTGGTGCTCGCAACCCTGATGGTGGTAGGCGTGTACTGCTGGCCGTCTTGACACTGTAAGCCCTACCCCTCCTGATGGATGCTCGGATGCTCACCGCGTTGCGAGTTTTGTGCGCGTGATATGTGCAGAGTGTTTTCCCCCGTGCGGGTGTCCCGTGTTCAGTGCGTTGAAGCCAAACCTGTGTGCATAGCTCTCTGCATACACTCTTCAAAACGAGCAAACATCGACACCGCTGTGCGACTCGTCATATCGCGCCGTCCTATCCCTGGCAGAGGCACTGCTGGTGAAAGCTCACCGCCCGCCCCCTCCAGCAGCCGAGGTAGCACTCCCTCTGCCAGCGGAGGCAGGCCTGTGAGTGTTCGGCGACCTCCACCTCGGAGACGGCGTCGCTGCCGTCCGCCTGCGGCAGCACACGCCTCGAGCCGCCGCGCTCCTCCCCGCTGCT